AGCGGTTCCATTTGACTCAATTTTTCTTCTTCTAGATAGTTTCCTGAAAGTTAAATGCATCATATCACAGTGACATACACATGATCGTGTTTATAGTACAACAATTCATAAAAGCTACATTTTAGAAACAGTCTATACACCCATCAACAGATGAATGCACAAAGAAATATACTAAAACTGGGTGTGGTGGCCAAGGCCTGTAATCCTAGCACTCGGGAGGCTGAGGTAGAAGGATCACTGTGAGTTTGAGACCAGCCTGAGCTACAAAGTGAGCTGAAGGCCAGCCTGAACTACATAGCAAGACCCTATATCTCAAAAATACACACACAAAAGAAAATGTATTTATATACAATGGAGTACTACTCTGTACCCATAAAGAAGGATAAACTTGAGTCATTTTTTAATAAATGCACGCACTTCAAGACCATAATGTTGAGTGAAATAAATCAGAAACACAAATTTACATATCATTCTGTTTCTCTTATGTGAGAAATCCAAAGTGTAAATAAGGAGGGAAATGGAGGATAGACTTTGGGAAGTGGAAAGAATGTGCTCAAATACAAAGGAGAACAAAAGAGGAGGGAGAGAGAAGGGAAAGAAGGGAAAAGGGCTTTGAAAAAAGAGAATAGAAGAGAAAGAAACATGGAAACAAAGCTTTATAAATGGGGAAGGTAGAAGGTTTAAAGGAAGAGGAGGGACATAGGAAAAAAATAAGACAAATTTCACAAGATGAATATGATCATTGTGTAATATAAATATGTACTAATAAAAAATTTTAAAAAGAGAGATGGTATGTCTCTTTAATAAGTAGACCAACAGTAGAAGAAAAGTCATTCTTTAAAACAGAATAATGGAGTACTATTTAATTTGAAATAAACTTTCAGATACATAATTCTACAATTTTTATAATTTTATTTAATATATTCTTACTTAACTATCAGCCCTAGTAATGTCAAAGAAAAAGGCTGTTATTGTATATGTAAGGTTTTTCATACAGTAAGAGATGAAGAAAACATTCATTCTGAATTTCATTATCAACCTCAGGTTAAGAAACCATATTCTCCACAGGAGGCTGAGGCAGGAAAATCACTGCAAGTTCAAGGGCAGCCTGGGCTACAAAGTGAGTTGAAGACCAGCCTGAACTGCATAGTGAAACACTGTATCAAAAACACAACAAGAAAAACAACAACAAAGAGAAACCATATTCTTTGTATAATGTGTTCAAATATGCCAAATATCATATATTACATATATCAAATATGTTTTAGTCAAAGGCTAAAAGCAAGGGTTTCAATTTATTTACTGAATAAGAACTTTTAAGATTACCACTGTTTTGAATTATTGACATATTAATTATATGTTCACCATTTTTCCTTTTAATGAAATAAAACTAAGTTACTTTAAAAATAAAAACCAAATACTATATCATTATTTTATATATTCTTATTTGCTCATATTAATATATAATAGTGGGTTTTAATTGGTACATTTTTACATAAATAAAATATCTGATCTCCCTCACATCCTCATTAAAATTTTAGTACTATCTTTGCAATGCATAATAATTACATTCATCTCAGGGAATTGCCACACACTTACAATGCCTGTTGGTCAACTTTACTTCTACTTCACTCCCTGCTCTCACGATTCTCCATTTCCTCTGATCCTCATCACAACTCGAGAATCTATCTCCTTGCTTCCTATCATTCCTCTATTATTTTACTCTTTAACTTATTTACTTTTTCCATGTGAAATTTAATTTGATATAAAATTATGGTCTCAAGATCCATTCATTTTCCTACAAATAGCTCGAACTTAATTTTTCTAATTGAATAGTACTCCATTATAAATATATAGCACATACTGTCTATTCATTTAGATAAATGAGCATATAGGCATCAACCATAATTTAGCTATCATGAATTGTGCTGCCACAAATATGAGAATATGTACATATATCACTGTAACATGATGCCTGTAAGTCTTTTGGGAAGATATCCAGAAGAGACACAGCAGGGTCAAATGCAATTCAATTTAAAAAATTTTTTAAAATCTCCATAATAAGGGGCTGGGGATTTAGCTCAGCGGCATAAGCGCCTGCCTTGCAAACAGGCAGTCGTGAGTTGGATCCCCGGTACCGATAAAAAGGAAAAAGACCAAAAAAAAATCTCCATAATAATTTCTATAGTGATTACACACATTTTACTTTCACACTAAAAATATGGAATGGTACCTTCCCCTCCCCACCAGTCTCATCTGTATTTTTTTTTTTTTTGAGTCCTTGGTAAGACATTTTTGATGCAGTAAGATGGAATACCAATCTTCCTTTGAGTTGCATTTCTCTAATGGCTAAAGAAGCTAAGCATTTCTTAATGTACATATTGGTTGTTTGTACTTCTTTTGTGTATTGAAGTGTCTATTCACTTCAATTTCATATTTCAATCTTTTCTTTTGCAGAGTATTCTATTTTTTTAGTTCTTTGTGTATTCTAGATGTTACTCCTCTTAGGACTAGCTGGCATACTTTTTTTCAATTTTGTAGGCTGTCTCATCACTCTGTGGATTGCTTCCTTTACTGTGCAGAAGATCTTCAAATTGATATAATCCCATTTATTGATTTTTGGTGTTATGTTTTGTGAAACTAGGGATCTGTTCAGAATGTCCTTGCCTATGCCTATGTCTTCAAGAGTTTCAACATTTTTTCATCTTGTAAATTCAGTGTATCAGTTTTTGTATCTAGATGATTAATCCACTTTGATTTCACTTCAGTGCAAAGTGAGAGACATGGATCTACATGCATGCTACTACACATGCCTGATCAGCTTTTTAGCAACATTTTTTCCAGAGGCTATATTTGCTCCAGTATATGTTACTGAGCCTTTTGTCAAAACTAAAGATAGCTGAAGATATTTAGAGCTGTTTCTGCATCCTCTATTCTAGTGCATGGATCAATTTTTTTATTGCTAGTACTATGCTTTTTTTTGTTACTACAACTTTATACTATAACTTGTAGAAGTCCAAGATTACAATGCCTCTTGCTTTGCTCTTGTTGCACAAGATTATTTTGGGTATTCTGGGTCTCTGCTGACTCCAAACAAGTTTTAAAATTATTTTTTTTATAGTTCCGTGAAAAATACTCATGGCACTTTGATTAGGACTTCAATAAATCTATATAACCATTTTAGCAATACAGACAGTTTGACAATATTGACACTGCTTATAGAAGAACAGGGTATACTTGTCTTCTAAGATTCTGTTGAATCTATTCTCTCAGAGTACTAGTCTGGTTTTTGGTGTCAGAGTAATTCTAGTTTCCAGGAACAGATTTGGCAGTTTTCCTTCCCTTTCCATTTCATGGAAGAATTTAAAGTATACTGGCATTAATTCTTCCCAGAAATTTTTTAAAAATCCAGTGAGGACTCCATCTGGTCCTGTAACTTTCTTGACATGTTTTTTTTTTTTTTTTTTTTCCTTGTCTTTGTCATTTTCTGTCATTGGTCTGTTCAGTGTTTTTGTAACTTCTTTCTATTTTGGTAATTCATATGTGCCTAGGGATTTATCCATGTCTTCTACATTTTCCCATTTTTTGGAAAGCAAATTTTCAAACTGGTTTCTTATAATCTTTTGGATTTTGGTAGTGTCTTTGTGATTTTGCCTTTGTGACTTCCACACACGTTAATGTGAGTATTTCCTTTGGTAAGTGTGGCTAAAGTTTTCTCAATTTTATTTATCCTAAGTACCAACACTTTGATTCACTCTTGGTATTCTGTTAGTCTCGATTTCGTTTCTTTCTATTCTTGATCTTCATAATTTCTTTCTTTCTACAAGTTTTTGATATGGATTGTTCTTGTCTTTCTAGGACCTGAGGCATACCACTGTTATTTATTTGGGATCACTCCATTTTTTCCTACTGTGGGCATTCACAGAAATCATCTTTCTTCTTGTAACTTTTCATCGTCTTAGTTTTTGGTACATTTTGTTTACACTGTCATTTTATTTTAGAAAATTTTAATTTCTTTCTTATTTCTTCTATGACCCAATGATTGTTCAAAAGCATATTGTTTGAGTCTCTTTGCATTGTTTCTCTGTTTAGTGATTTCTTTTTGTATTTTACGGAAAACAGTAAAACAAAATAATAGAATAACAACAGTTAATACATTGCATATTGCTATCTTTAAAGATGTTACTAAGAGTACAAAATATGGGCATAAAAATTCTCCAAATGATATTAGCACAAATCTTTCTTTTCAATAAAATAAGAGAAACTAGTAGTATAGCTTTATCCCATGATATGACAGTACGCAGAAGATCACTTCAGTTCTTTTTTATTTATTTAAGCTTGCTTCATGACCTAAGATATGGTCTCTTTTAGAGAATATTTTATTTGCTGCTGAGAAAAAAATGTGTATACTGTTTGACAAGAAAAATTTTATGTATAACTTCTAAGTCAATTTGTTCAACAGTGTGTCTAACTATTATTACTTTTTTCCTCCAGTTGATCTATCTGAGACAGCATGGTATTAATGAAGTTCTCCACTATCATATGATTATATTGATATTTTTCTGACCTTTTATTTCCAATATTTGCTGTATGGATTTGGGTGCATCAGCATTCAGTGCACATGTATTTACAATTGTTATTTCTTCCTGTTGAATTCCTCCCATTAGTTCTGTGACTTTTGTCTCTTCTGATCCGTTTTAACTTAAAGTCCACTTAGTTTGAAAAAAGAACATCTATTCCTGCTTGCTTTTAACCTTGTGTACGTTGTAGTACCATTTTACATCTTTCAATCTATGTGTTCTTTGTTGATGAGGTGTACCTCTTAGGCACAATACCCCCCAGAGCCAGCGGAGTGCAGCAGGAAGCTGGGAAGTTGGCACAGGCAGTGCTAATGTGATGGATACAAACTATTATGTTGTAGGTATTATGTAAAATGTAAATATTGCCACATTGTTTAAACAAAAACTGAAATACTGCTATCACTTACAAAAAAAACTTACCTTTGCAATTATCACTGATTGAACTGGGTAGCAAACAGTTGCTCCTACAGTAGCCAGTCCTAGTGGATAAGCAATTTTCTTAAATCTAGGACCTATAAAATTCAAAAACAGTATTAAATGCTAAATAGATGGCTACAGAGACTTTATGGTCCTATACTATAATGTTGTTTGTTCTTCCTTTAAGTCACCAGCCTCTGCTAAATTTCTTTTTAGGTAAAAATAGTCAAGATAGTGCCTAAAATGGTCTTTAATTAACTCATTTCAATCAGTACCCCTCAGCTGTCATATCTAATTTAAGAAAGTATACTCAATCAATTGCTGAAAATTACTACAAAAAAAGGGATTGATTTTTAGGTATTTATGTGCTTAGAAACTAAAAGTTGTAACTGCACTTTTCTCAAGTATAGAATAAAGCAAAACATAGAGAATCAAAAACCACATTTGTCAAAGTGAAATGGACCCTTTATATGTCTTTTTCATTAAGTATTCAGAAAGGTAAATGATTAATCAACTAAAGACTTAAAAGGTGCACACTCATTCATATCACTGATTTAGAATAATGAACAATTTTAAATGATTTAACATAATGCATTTCAAAAAGTGCTATAAAAAGTGCCTAAGCAAATAAGTCATTTCCGTGTCTTTTCTAAGATTTCATAATATATGCCTTTGTTTTTCAACTTGACAACAGCATCTAATTTGTGCTTCAAAAGTTTTAAATGGTGACTGCATTCTTTAGATACTTCTCATGCATCCAAGCCAGAGGAAGAATTTAGCCCTTGATTAAAACAACAAAAATCAGGTCAGGCACAGTGGCATCCACCTGTAATCCCATCACTCACTATGGACTTCACTAACATCCTATGTCAGGCTGAGAAGGCTGAAAACCCACAATCTGAGGCTAGAGTTTAGCTGAATGCTTCCTCCAGCATCCAAGCTCCTGACTTCTGTTCTCACTGACACACATTTTTGAGGAGCAAAATCTCCTCTTCTGTTAGGAAAAACTCCTAACAGAATCTTATTTGAAACTTCAATATGTAAAACCTAAAAACATGAAGTTGTTCTGATTAACCTAAGGCAGGAAACTCAGTTGTCTGTATGGTTTGTTATTCTATAAACCCTAAAGATTAGTTTAACCAAAATTTTGTTTCAAAGTAACATGTATCTTACATGCATACCCAAATATATAGGACTCTGCAAATACCATTGGGCAATTAGATAATGTTTTTTAAATTGGGTTAAGTACTTTGCTTGTTTTAAATAGGAACTACAATCCATAATTTTAAATGAAAACAACCTGATATACCAACAAAAACCTGGGTGAAAAATACCTGGTTATGTTTGCAGGCAACGTTGCAGGTTAGGGAAGGGTTAAAAAAAGGTATTTCTCTGTCTGATTTAAGGATTATTCAGGGATACTTTTATAGTCATGTCTAATATAGACTGTGCTTTGGGGAGATGGGTAAACCAGGTGATTCAACCTCTAATTACCTTTCCTTTAGGTTTAGACTTTCTTATGTGATATGGGGAAATAGAGTCTAGAATAATTAAAATACACCCTAACTCCTAACCTCTGTAACGAGTTATCTGTTCTCTATTACTACAGTTTTTAATGCTGCCTAAGTGGAATTTTATATATATATATATATATATATATATATATATATATATATATATAGAGAGAGAGAGAGAGAGAGAGAGGCAGAGACAGAGAGAGACAGAGAGAGACAGAGGGAGGTTCTTTCACACAGATTCATTAAGATTGCTGCATGTGTCAATAGCTTATTACTTTTTATTACTAAATAGTATTCCTTAGAATGGATATGCCACAATTTAGTTTACTCATTCATTTACTGAACAATATTTAATTGGTGTCTAGCTTTTTATGATCACAGAGGTACTAGAAATATTTTGTATAAGTTTTTAATTTCTCCCTGGTAAACAGCCATATATGACATCATTATGTTGCACAGTAAATGTGTTTAATTTTTTAAATTTTAAAAACAACAAAAAAGGATAAAACCAATACAGAATTAAAAAACAACAGGAAACTAATACTAGTTAATGTGTTGTATATTGTTATGTACAATAGATATTTTGAAAACGAGGGAAATAAAGTGCTCAAAAGGAAATAACAACTGAGATGGAAGAAAAGAGAAAAGAAAGAAAGGAAAAGTTATATATACATATATGTGTATACATAAATATATACAAGATAGATAACTATGTGTATTTAACTGTGGAACTATTTTTTTCAGAATGGCTATATCATTTTGCACTTTCACTAGAATTATGTGAAACTGCTAGTTCTTCTGCACTATTAACTACAATTGCTATAGAAATTCTTGTAAATTGTAGACATTTTAATAGGTGTGTCATGCTAACTCATCATGGTTTTCAGCTACATTTCCCTAATGAATAATGATGTCAAAAACTTTTTATAAATTTAAACACTATGTACTGAAAAATAATTAAAATTTTTACAGGAACCTATCCTAATATCATCGATAAATGCTACAAGGTTTTCTCATAAGTTACAATAGATAAATTAATATAATGGCAGTGAAAAAGGGGATATATTTTTAAAACCTACCTTTTCTTGCTGAAACCAAGCCAACCAATCCTGAAATTGTAATCACTCCCAACTTTGGAAGAAAATCTCGAGGAGGATTCTTTAGATAGACGTATGTGTCTTAAAAAATCAGTTAAATATTAATATGAATGTCTAAAGACAATTGAGAATTCTATGTAAGTAGAGGTTAAAAGAATAAGCTTGTTAAACATTAAGATAATGTCAAATGGTTTAAACAACTCAAATATGATACAGAATGATATGATCAGCAACTCAAAATTAGTTATACTATTTATTAAAAAAGAAAATCTCCCTTCCACAGTTGATTTATTGATATTTATTTTCTTAATGCAAATGAGTATTACTCTTTAATGAAATATGTTTAAAAGTATCTTAATATCAACTATTATAAGGTAAATTTCTGATTGTATATATATTATATACCCCAAATTAACATGCTTCTGCCCTTATATGTTCAAATATTAGTAAGAACCAGTAAGAAGTAAAACAGTTATTTTATTAAAGAGATTTACCACTAGTCCTTGCTTGCCACTATTATCCAATAATATCTGAGCAGCTATTGCTTTTGGTTAAAACCAGTAATCAGGATGAGAAATAAGTCTGATAATAAGCCTTTGTGGTTTAAGAGCCCTCAGTTTAAAACTGGGCTCTGCCCTCTTAGTAGCTCAGTGCCCATGGTAAACCTACTCAGTTTGCCAAACCTCAGTTTCCTTATCTATGGAACACAATTACCTTAATTATAATACCAACACTCACAGAGTTATGACAAAAAATAAATTAGACAAATGATGTATTTTACAGAATGCCTTAACATACAATACTGAATAAATACATGGTAAATAATACTGCTTTATTATAACTGTCAGTGAACCACGGAGTATTTTCTAAGTCAATAAAAACATGATAATGGATAATACACCATGTTTTTCTCACATTTAAGCATTGTAACTTAAAAATATAATAAAACACTTCTAATTATGGATGGTTTCCTTACCTTTTCCAAACTGTACAGTATCCATTATCCCATTTTTCACCAGGACATATGTACTCTAAGTAAAAAAAAAACAAAGGGAGAAAAAAGGACGTCTCTATTATTGAAGCTATTGCTATTTAGATAAAGTAGCCTATATCTCTAAGAGTGTATTAACATCTTGACTTAGCATGATACTCAATTTAAATACAGCTTTTATATGTACTATGAGTATACTTGCTTAATTTAACTTCTTTTCACTTGTTGCATTTCATTCTGCTTAACATGAATAACACTTGTTTACTATTATCTTCATAATACCTACAAAATAAACTAAGGCGTTCACAGAAAAAAAAAATTGAAAAAACAGATTTATAATCTTCTTTTATAATCACCAAGAAAAATGAATGGAATTTAAACTGCATGAGAAGCAGGTATATATCAGCATAGAAGCAATGTCTGATTAGCAAAAATGCAGCAGTAACAACATAATGATATATGGAAAAAAAAACAGGACAAAATATATGAAAAAAAGTGTTTCTTTTCACTTTTTCTTAGTATGCATAAGGATGAAAAAAATCTAAATAAAACATTTATTTCAGGATAGAAATCATGTCACTTAGACTAATTTTACCTTGTTTTCAAACAGAATCATAAATTTCCCATAGATCAAGATTATATTTACTCTTTGAAAGGATTGAAACTTAGAAGCAAATCTTTCCTTTAACTTTTGTTTAGCTCATCTATTTTAATAAAAGACTGTTATGCATATAAATAGGTATTATATAACTAAGAGAAAAATGAAATCAAAAAATGATTTATTCATTATCATGCTTATTCTATTGAACCAGAAACGCAATCCAAATAATGATTTCCTTCTCTCAACTAGATGTTATGAAACTATAGAATAAAAAAAAAAAACAAAAAGACTTTCAAAGCATTAACAATAGAAATGATTAGGGCCGAGAATTTAGCCCAGTGGCATAAGTGCCTGCCTTTCAAGCACGAGGTCGTGAGTTCAATCCCCAGTACCAAAAAAAAAAAGTAAATTTAAAAGTAGAAATGATTATACTAAACAGAAAAGAAATAAGTTATTGTCCTCTATATATTCTGGTCTAGTCATTTTGTCTCAGCTTAATGGAGAATGGAAATACAGAAGTTTATTATCAATCCTGGGTTAAAACTATACAAACCAGTATTGATCATGCCTGCTACTAAGCTACTTCTATTAAAAAACTGTCTTGAGATAACTTCACCTTCAATATGAAAATAGTCACTGATCAGTTGATTGGAAGTCATTTAACAATTTTAACTACTATTAATCTTCGAGAAAAATCCTTAGCTATGTTTAAGAATTCATTTTTATCACTACGGGGCACTGCTACCCAAAGAGTAGGAGTATCAATTAAAACTGCCCTGTATGGTTATAAATTTTGTGAAGAATGTAACTTAAGTTAGACATAATTTTAAAATAACAGATTAAATTTTTAGAGAAAAAGGTGTTTACATTGAAGATGCAATGTATTGGAAAGTGTCTTCTTCAATCTTGTTTCAGTGTATTAACAGAATAATATGTTCTTTCAGTCTCAAAATGAGTTATATCAACAATGCAGATATCTCAGAAACAATTTACTTCACTGAAGACACATCTGAACTCTGAAAACATCATGGGAAACTGGGTCTCGGGAGACTTACAACTGAATCATCTGGCCTATGGCATATAATCTTTGGAACATCGTTTAGATCATAATTAAAGTTATTTCCTTCAGAGAAGAAGGTAGTAAGCATATGGAGTAAACTAGTACAATTAGAATTACATGACAATAAGAAATTTTTTAAAACACACCACTATTCATCAACTATTCAAAACATTATCTAGAATGACCAGACTTGACTGGTCTGATATTTCACCTAAGGATGATATTTTTTGTAAGTTCACTAGAATTTTTTTTAAAACACTCTTTTAGGAATTATAAATGCTCAAGGTTCCACAATAAGATAAGCTATGTTTGGGAAAACTTGTATGATTATTAGTGATGAAAACAGCAAGTGTGATGGCATATACCTGTAATCCCAGCACTCTGAAGGGTGAGGCAGGAGAGCACCATGAGTTCAAGGCCAGCCTGGACCACATAGTTATTTCAAGGCCAGCCTGAACTACATGGCAAGACTCTGTCTCAAAATACTACCACTACCACTACTACTACTACTACTACTACTAATAATAATAATAATAATAATAATAATACTTATAGCAATATTACCTTACTATTACTAAGATAATAACACTGGAGATGTTTTGTGACACTAATGAAACTTAGTTATTACATCAGTTCACTCCATTACTCTGCTACTGAGCATTGCTGCCTGAAAGCTAAGCAAAAATATGGTAAATTCTACTTTGTTCAATATCTAGTTCCAATTAGAATGGTCTTATGATCTAATCTCAACAGGTGAACAATATTTTGCTTAGACAAATACAAAACAATTCATAAATAATTTCAAAACTTCACATAGAAGGTAAAAAAATGTGTTGATCAGAGTAATATCTTGATTCATGAATGCTTCGGCTCACAAACAGAAGGCTTAAACAAAACTGCTTCCATTTGAGAACTCCACAATTGCCATCCTCACTGCATGAACACAAACAAGCCATCTTCCTCAGAAGTGTGACACAAATTCAGTTTGTAAACTAAGGTACTATTATACATGCTAGGTAACATAAATGCTTGTTGAAATATAATCTGTGCAATAGCCGTATATTAAACGCAGGTACAGATTCTTTGCTACTGCTCCTACTGAGGGAGATGGCATCTCATTTTCCCTTTAAAAATTGAGTTGGCTTGAGGAATTTGATTTTCCACAAGAAAGCTACAGAAGTTACTTTTATGAACATCTGAGGGCAGGAAAGAAGCTTAGAAAATTCTGCCTAAAGCTTCTTATAACACTGTCTCACGAGTCCTGAAGTGCCCCTGTAAGTAATCTACCTTGAGGTCCTTGTGCCTGAGAGAACATGTATAGATCCTTTAGTCAACAATTTCAACTGATCCCAGCCTTTCATTTATCCATGCAAAGGTGCCAGAGACACAAATGAAGTTTAAGCTTTCTAAATCAGCCCATTTGCTAAATGAGTATCACAGAGTGACATCTGACAACACCACATGTATCAGAAAAATCAGCTCTCTGCACTGATAAAATTCCTGACCCATAAAATAATAAGACAAAATATAATGATGCTGACTTAACCCCCTAAGCGTATGATAGTTTTTATACATCAAAAGAAGTATAGAAGAACAGAAGTCTCTGATATTAAGCTGCTATCAGAATACACTTACCTTGCACCAGCCAATGTAACAACTAGTTGTAGTGCGGATGGATGCAAAGCCCATTTGTAAATAACCTGGGTGCTCTTCAACATATTTAGACTGAAGAGGTGGCACAGTATATATGGGGAGCTAGAGGCAAAATAAAAATTAATGTCAAAAATAAAATAGCTGGACTGTCTTTTCCAGCAGTGTGGCAAAACAGTAATCTTCATCAACCTTCCTCCTAAAAACAATACTAATAATAAACTTAAAACCTATCCTAAATGCAGGGATTATGCAGTAAAATGTTTAAAATGACTATTAAGAGGCAAGTGATGCCAACTGTTATGGCTTATATCTAGATGTCTCCCTTGCCTCATGTGGTCATAAGTGGAATTTTTCAGAGGCTGCTAGATCTAGAGTATGAGGTGTTAGATAGAGGATGTAATGCTAAGATTGAGTCACGGAATGATGCTAGGATTAAACATGGCCCACTCTGAGTGTGAGTCTACATGTTCGAAGGGTAGTGGCCTGAATAGAATATAAAGGACAGAAAGAAAGCTGCTGCTGCCACTGCTTATCACTTGCTGCTTGCTGCTTTTGATGCCCTCTGCCTTACACTCTGTTTGAGCCAACCAATTATAGACTGAAACTTCTACAATCTAAGAGTGGAAATAAACCTTTCCTCCATTAACTTTGGGTGTTGGGCATTGTGTTTCAGCAATAAGAAAGGTAACTAAGATACTAATCTTTGGTATCTTTAGAGGAAACTACTTTACTGCTGCATCTAGTGCTACATACAATAATATTTCATACCAAAACTGCAATTGTAAAAATCTGCAAGCAATCCAAAATGTTCATAATAAATGAGTAATTAAATCAGGGTATACCCATGCAACAGAAAATATATAACATTGTAGACAAATTATAAATTTATAGGGAAAATAAAATTATAGACATACAGAAAAATTTGTTTCAATTTCAGCAATACAGTATTAAGCAGAAAAGGTTAAGACAAAGAAAACTGCATATAGGTTATGTTTCCATCACTATATAATTCAAAAACATGCAAAACCAAAGATATTCAAATTGCTCAGCAATATAACATTTAAGGTAAAATTATAAAACTAATGAAGAAAAAATTAAAATCTCACAGTACTGGTTAACATTTAATGGAATTCTGTTTTTCTTTCAAACGGGATGATAGGTACATAGTTGCACACCATAATATTGTTATTTATACCTTTCATATATTGATTAAATAGCCTTTGATGTCTCAAAAAACAAATATAAGCATATAAACATAAAAACCTAGGAAAATTTTTATCCACTAAGGAATTACTTCCTTTTAAAAAGTAAAAAAAAAGTGTTTTTGTTCAAAGTGTAGCACTTTTATATTGCATTTGATGATGCATTTGGGGAGAATAAAGTTTACAAACTAATAGCAAGGGAATTACATGATTATAGCTTTGGATTTGATCCTCTATTGAGAAAATGAAATAATAATAATACATTGTATTCCTGAAAAATACTAAGAATGTATGCAATATGTTCTCATCCCCAAAATTATAACTATGTGAGGTAATATATAGGTTAACTAGCCAGATTTAGTCATTCCACAATGTATAAATACTTCAAAACATATTGTAAAGGTAAATACGTATAATTTTATCTGTGAATTTAAACTTTTTTTTAAATTGAAAATCTAATCTAGGAGATGGGTCAGTAAGTTTTATTTTTACTGTTAAATTACTCTTTGCTACTCACACCAATGTTAAAGTTAGTATTTCTCTTTCTAGACTAATGCTTGAATTTAAATTCACCAAATTGACAGATACATAAAATTAGGAAGGTCAGAAATGCATACTTTTTATAAAAGATACATTATATGCATAAAAACTAGATTCACTGTAATTAGTAATGCTTCCCTTCTCCCTACAAGGCAGCCTATATTCTAATGTACTGGTATTAAGAGTGAGCAAAGTTAATTGTTTGTCCATTATGCCCCCAACCTATCTATTCTCTCCACTCTCCAATTTCAAACTTAATGAATCACTGTGTTTCTATCCTCATTGAGATTTTCTAATTATTAGTATAGTCCTCAGTATTCATAGGATTAAGTTTTTTTTATTTATGGCCTATTGGATGCAAAACTTTGTGTATGCAATTTCCTAGGCAGGACAACTAAAATTTCATCAGATTCTCAAAGGGGTCAGAACCAGTGTTTTCAAGCATTTTCCTACTGAATGCATGGACATTCAAGTACTGATAAAAGGTTTGTGAAAAAGGACTTCAGTTCTACTGTGAGAATTTTAAGAATCAACCACAAGATGGTAGAAAGATGTGACTACAGTCTCCACTAAGAGAACATTCACATTATGGATTAGAATTCTTGAGATTAAATATCACTTACTGTATGGATACAATTTGTTTTTACTTGGTTAGAAAGTATGATTAGACTCAGTAAACTATAAAACCACATTTATTTCTTGATGAAAACAAGCAAATGACAAGAAACATTCCCAGAGAGATTAAACAAAGAAATGTTCAGAAATGTTTATGCCTGGCTGTATATATATGTACCTCAATTACCACACAACTTACTGATCTGAATATTGGAAGCTTCATGGTTTAAAAAATGATTAGCTCATGGTCCTGCATATTTTTCAATTAGAGGGAGATTTAATTATACTAACCACATGACATTTAGTAAGTCAGGATCATAGTGATAGTCTTAAAATACGTTTAATAAGAAGAATGGGACTTTAAAAAGCATTTTATGTTTACCTACAAGCTTACCAAAGATTTAGATAAACAAAAAATTTCACTCCGAATGTTTTCTGGTTTAGCAGAGGTTTTATTATAAATAGGTTTAAACAGGGTTATAGCTGCATTTACACAACAGAAGTAACTGGAGATACTGCTATGTAAATCATAACTCTGTCCCTTTATAAATTCTAAGTTCTTCAAGGTTAGATCCTGATTTTGTAAAGACCCTAGTACAGAGTTGGCAACCAATTTTGTTTACTAAGTAAATTCATATTAAAATGTACTGAGGAATACAATAAATAACAAGGAATCCTATACATTACCCAATATATTCACTACTTTATTTTATAATACAGAAACATATGAACTCAGCTATTAGGGAGAAATCCCAGCTCCTTATCACACTATTTAAATTTTTGAACTCCCCAAATATGAGAGCATCAAAGAAAGGTTAAATGATTATCTTTTTGAGAATAAAGAAGAAAATAAGTGTACAAGGAAGTGAATCTATCCTATATTGCTACTAAAAAGTAATAAATACTTGCACAATGCTTAAAAGAATGCCTTATGTTCACAAAAGAAAAGCTCAGGAAATACTTTTTGATATATGAATAACATTTTTTTGCATGTTAACATATCAAAAAATAATTTTTGTGCCTTCTGACTTATAATTCTACTTTTGGAAATTCATCCTATGGAAAAAGTTCTTCATGTATACAAAGATTTAAATAAAAGGTAATTCACCAAACACTGAATTGTAATAGCAAAATAATTGAAAATATTTTAAATTTCAAAAAAAATTATGGGGTGGTACATTTGACTATGTAACAGAATTACATGCTTATGTCAGTATTAGGAATTCTGTCCAATGTGCTCCAACTAGTTAGTGATGAAGTGAAAATTCAGATTCAGGCCTGTCTAATTTATGAATAAATCATTAAATATGTAGATAGATCTTAAGTATGACGTGAAACTGGAAGACATAAGTAGCACAATGGTGAACAGAATCAGTAATCACAATTCCATTTCAACAGGCTGGGATAATAAGCCAGATCAATTTCATTCATTATTCACTTTAAACAGTGTCTCACTATGTACTTCAGGCTAGCTTTGAACTCCTTATATAGTCAATGCTGTCCTCAAACCAGCCACCATCCTCTTGCCTTAGCCTCTTGAGTAGTGGGATTATAGGTATGTGCCACTATGCCTGGCTCAGTACGAAGAAAATTAAACAGGCATAAATATACCTGCAACTAAGACAAAAGGTTCAAAGGTATAAATACACACCAAAAAGAGACACAGTTTACCAGTTATCCATTTTAAAATTTTCATCAATTTTTTAAAAATGGTGAGTTCATTATGGCATAGTCAAAGGCTGTTACGAGCATGGTTGATCTCAGCACTCAAAATAAAAATAAACATAAAACTAATACTATCCTAGACAGTGTTAGAAAGATATCTAGGTTAGAAGAAAAATTCTGACATCCTGAAGTAGGTGAATTCTTGTACCGTACTTCAAGAAAACACTAATCAATACATGTAGCAGGGTGTGATCACAATACTGAAGTTGGGAGGTTCCCGATCCCAGGGAACCAGGGGACTTAATTTTTGTCTAACATCTTTATTTCTCTGCTGCCCACTGTGAGGACAAACACCCTGCTGTGGAGCCTGGACACCAGTCCTTATCAAGAAGTGTCACCGTGAATCTCTTGAGCCTCAATAGACTATCAAAGTAGCCGAAAAGCCTGCCTGGATTCATCACTCCCATTGCAAGCAGGTCCCGGCTTCCAAAGGCCTGCGCATAAATGGACTGTCATTCCCTCCAAGGACTCTTTAAAGCTTAAGATTGCCAAATGTAACTGATGATCTTGTGTTCTCCCTTGTAGAGACCCCGAGGAGGCCTCTGTCTGACTTTTAAAAATTGTTACTTATATGATAAAACAAAGTAAATTTAAATGTTGTTTTCTTTCTCCTTATGGTTAACAGCTTTAATAATGACAGCTGCAAGATCTTTGTTAATCCTCCTATTGGGCCTTATATTGTAAACAAGTTGATAAACTATGTCAAAGATCTTAAAAGTTTATGATTTCAAAGGCTCACACAAGGTTATAAACAGATACCTTTGAGTCAATGATTTGACTCACTAACTAAAATCAGTGGGGAATGTTATAACCTATATATAAAAAAAGCCCCTCACAAGTGTCCTCAGAGGCAAGAAAAAGATCAAAGGTAACTCTAAGAGCAGAATAGAATGTCTTCCTAATCTAAACTTGCTTGTTAACCCAACCCTTACCTGAACCTTGCTCTTCCTAAGAAATGTAATTGCCGTGTACCTGTTCTGTAGTGCACCACAAAAGCCCCCCCCACCTCCTTGCATTGTGAGACCAGCAGCTGTTTGCGGTTTTACAAGATAAAAACCCTGCCCTTTAGCTGTTAGGTGCGCAGTCTTCCATATTGGCTCCCGGAGGCTGCATCTCCAGGCCTGGCCTAAAATAAAGCCTTTGCTCCAAATTTCTTAATTTCTTGCTTCCTTGGATTTTATTCCGGGGTTCGAGCTATCACATTTGTGGGCTAAAGCAATTAATTAATATGTTTATACAACAAAAAAATTACTTAAAGTGTCACTGACATCTGAAGCATTGATTTTTGGAAGACAAATAAGAATTCATAAATAAAAATCTAATTGTTTAACACCAATTAAAGAGATACAACACAGTGAGTAGCAGTTATGAGGCAGATTTGTGTTTCACATAAGGAAGGACCTAAAACTGAAAGACAGCTTCCAGAAAAGGTTAAATGATTATCTTTTTGAGATAGGTTAGGTTCCTGTTGTAAAAGGAATGACAATACCAAACAGGAGGCTGAACATCTATGGTCATTTCCAAAACTGAGATGTCACATAATGATTTTCTCAATGTAAGGCATCTCAGTACTGGAAGTTTTTCACATAATTTTTTAAGAAAAAGTCAAGGCTTCTTACAGTGTCTAATTTTCTGTACTACTTACTGATTATTCATTAAGAAAAATAACAATTGTTCTTCACTGATGTTAGAGTTTCATTTTGGGGTATTTTATAACAATCACTTTTAAGTTATAAAATGCATCTAACAGATATTTTAAAATATTTTAATAGCAGCAACTACATGAAACAAAACATAAAACAACACAGTTTTTATATTACCTTTACATTATACAAAATTCATAAACTTTTATAAACAAATTACCTGTTCTGGTCTCACTAGTTGCTTTTTGGATTCTTCTTCTTTGGCAAGATGTACACTTACGGAAGCATATATCACTCCCATAGGCATTCTAGTCAGCTTTCCTATCTGAGAAAGATATAACAAAAAAGATCCTTTTAATTTAAAAGCTTCACAGCTTCTATTTGCTGATAAATTCTAGGGCATCTCAGGAACATTACTGTTTTCCCTTCAAATATTAAGTACAAAAAACTCCAAATTACATCATACTTTTTAATATATAGCTTCTAAAATTCTCTTCTCTTACTGGATGGCAGAGTAACATTGTCTGTTAAGAAATACAGCCATAAAATGTCTATCAGGAATAATATCTTTATATAATACTACATCTATGCAGTAATTACAAAAATTGAAATGATGAAGTATGATTGATCATGGCACTCACTGAATCCACGAGCAATCAAACGTCTAAATTGGGTGAAACCCTGGTCTCAGTTCTCAGAGTATAATGTGAACAAAATACGTATTCCCACTATCATGAAACTGACATGCTAATGGAATTAAGGCAGACAATTAAGTTGACAAATGCTATGAAAACAGTGGAGGACAAGTAAAGAACAAGGTCAGTAATCTAGGTGATGTAGAGTATATTTTGAAATACTATTTCTATTATCCATAGAAATACTTGCTTTCTATTATCAACCCTTTGCTCCTGATTTTCCAATTTTTTTTTAAGATTCATGCTTTAAGCCAATTGTGATTTTGTTTTCAATATATAATAACAGGAAAATTATTGGCTCTAAGAACAATATGTTCCAGTCTTATTCAGACACCAAAATAAATTTTTAAAACTTACTTATTTAAGGAGGCCAAATGAAAAGATCTCCAGAAAAAATTATTTCATAGATTAACATTTTTGACATTTTCAGTACATGTTTGCAGTATACAAGTACACTTGCTTTAGGGGATTGGTAGATGTGCATCACATATTTCAATTTCCTTCTCCCCCACTTCCTCCACCTTCTTTTATTTTTACAGCATCAAATTCCTGTATCTTGTAAGATCTTATAAATTTAATTATCATACATAAAGATTGAAAAGCAGACTAATAAGACAAAGAAAATATATGACATGTCCTAAGTCAAAGTATACTTTTACATGTTGTCCACTGAATTACAATACCTTAATGATTTCTTTTTTCTAGTTATGTCTTTTATTTCATTATATATAGGTATATACATATATTCATATGTATGTTTACATACTCACACACATATAGTTTTTCATATTTAAGTCTGTGTGTCTGATTTACTTCACTTAACATTATGGTTTCAAAGTGCATCCATTTCCAAACAAATGACTTAGGTTTACCTTTTCTAGGGCAGAGTAATACTACACTGTGTATAAATACCACATTTTTATGCATTCAACTGATGATGGGTATATAAGCCATTTCCAATTTAGCTATTATGAATTGCACTGCTATAAATATGGGTAAGCATACATCACTCTGGTATGATATCAATAATTTTTTGGCACGATACATAGAAGGGGAACAGCTGGATCAAACAGAATTTCTTTTAGTTTTTTGAGGACAGGTCCCACTGATTTCCATAGGGGATATATCAGCTTACAGTCTCATCAACAATGAAGAAGGGTTCCTTTCTCCCCACATTCTCACTCGTTGATTTTTTTTTTTGTTTTTTTTTTTGTTTTGTTTTTTTTTTTTTTTTTTGGTACCGAGGATTGAGCTCACTATCAAGTTTGCCAGATAGGCGTTTATGCTGCCTCTGAGCTAAATCCCTGGACCTGGTTGATTTTTTTGATAGTAACCATTTTTTCTAGAGTAAGGTTCTCAAATGCCCAGCAATGTTGAACACTGTGTTCATGCATTTATTGGTCATTTTTACTTCTTAATCTGAGAAGTGTTTATGCACCTCAGATGCCCATTTTTTTAAACTGGGTCTTGAGATTTAGGGAAGCTAATTTCTGGATTTTTTATATACTATACATGTTAGTCCTTTGAAGAGTCTTAAATGCTAGATATCAAGAGAATTGGTTTTATAAACACTGCCTATTATCTACATGCAGTAACTGAAATTTCTCATTGGTTGTTTTTAAAACTCCAGATATAACTATAAAAATCAAACTAAAAATCCTGTAATGGCAGAAGGACCATTAAGAGCTAAAAATAAATAGTTTCTCAACTCTGGTGTGTTTATCATTACCACTCTTGTAAGAGAATAAATCAAAACTTTGCATTCACTGTCTCTGCAGTCCAATTTGGATCTCAGCAAGTAAATTTATTTCTTTTGCAGTTAGGAGTTCCTCTGGGAAATTCTGTGCCTATGTGGTAATGGGTCCCAGTGCAGAGGGAGATGCATTCCACCCCATCTTTCGGTAGCCCACTTTATCCAGGATTTTTCTTCTATACACAGAAGCCATAGAACACTCGAGATTGTTGTTCTGAAAGATAGTGAAACCAATACAGGAGAGATAAAAATAATTTCTTGCACGAGCCAGAACATTTATGACTATAAATACTACCTCTTAAAGATGTAAGAAAGCTGTTCCCAGAGTACACATAAAACCTCCCTTAGTGATTACAGAAATTCAAACAACCAAAATAATAAAAAGGACCAACCAAAAGTGACAAACAGACATTCTCGATCTTAGAAAACAAAGATAAGAAAAAGAAACTTTTACTGGAACTTTGCCCAGAATAAATGCCATTTCCTGAATTTTCATGAAACCAGTTGCAAATCTCAGCTAACTGATGAATTTAACTTTGGCTTTCAATTTAGGTTGGTGTTTTTTTTTTTTTTAATTAGTATTCTTAAAATGTATTTTGCAATTTATAACTTCTTAAACTCCAACTATGGGGTCAGTCTTTCTGCGGTTGCTTCATTACAGACAAAGGCACTATGGAATATTTATGGGCAGCCAAAGAAGGCAGTCAGCCAAATTTACAATGTAACAAATTGGGAACACAGATGGCTTCAGGTAATTTCTTATTTAAAAATAATAAGCCAGAATGAAAAGTAATTACATGAAGCAAAACTTCAAGTATGAGATGTACTTTTGATATGAAAAGATTTTCTATGATAAAATTCTTGCCCTATCAGAAATAAACAAGAACAAATAGTGGCTCAAGTAGAAAGGCTCAAGCATGTCACGAATGTTTCGTGAAGGATGCAGTATAGAAATATGTATGTTTGCTTGTTGGCTTAATTGAGACCAAACCACACTCAAGAGTACCTTGTTACTCTAAGAAGATTAGGAGACTATGGCCTTGATTCTCAGAAATCATTCTTCCCCAGGTCTCCTCTTTTATTTAACTGATGCTTTCAGACGAAGGTTATAAATCTCATTTTTGAGATTAATATTAAACATCAGCTTTGTTTACATGAGTAGCAGAGACACCTAAACTCGTCAATAGCAAAGCACAAGACAGAGCTGCCTTCTTAGGCAGTTCCAATCTGGTTTGAAACATCCAGTATTACCAGCTGTATGGTTCATTACATATATTTATATCTCTCAAATGTACAAATCTTTGAAGATACAAAATGAAAATACATTACATTTGACTTCCAGACTAAAATTATCTATGATGGTAGACTCTTAAACTCAAATATCTGACTTTCCTTTACTTGTATTCCAGCTATTGGTGATAAAGTATATATGCCAATCCAATATGTGTAGCCAACCAAAACATATATCTACTTTTTCAAGGTTTACAACACTTAAGGATGTTTAAGCACTGTATAGCCCAAATAATAAAACATAATCGACATCTACAGACAGGATACATTCTTCTCAGATAATATAGATTCAGATAAAAGTATCTTTCATTTACTATGATGATGTCATGATTGTTATGCTAATACATTATATTGCCCTTGATCTTAAGTTTTCTCTTTAAAGCTTTATACTTGTTATCTGCTAACATTCTATATACATTTAAATTCTAGGATAAGCAAGATTGACAACAAATACCATTTTCCTAAATGACCCCTCAATATTGTCATTGATTCAGCTTATGTTGTAAAAACTCCATAGGGTATTGATTCTGCCCTTATTCAGAGTGGTAACGATGAAATTCTCTTTCACATGTTTAGACACCTACAAAAATTGATTACACACCACACTTCAGCTTTTTCTGTTACTTACATATATTCTCATTCTAATTTGCCTTGACCGTTAACAAAAGGGCAACACTTGCTGACGCTAGTTATGTTTTCTACCTCTGCAGAGGACACTTTTGCTTCACATCAATGTTTTCATGACGGCACCAAAGGACTAGTTTTATCTTTTAATCTTACACATAAACAGGTCCAAAAAATCATTCACACCTGACCTGACTGTCATAAACAGATACAAAATGGTCCTTATATAGATACAAATACCTGTAGTTTACAAAGTAATAGAATTTGATAAATAGATTAATTCATCATAACGCTTTTGGTTATACATATATATATATATATATATATGTGTGTGTGTGTGTGTATATACATATATATATATATATATATATATATACCAGAGAATACACCATTGAGGTGAAATCACAGTTGCAATAAGAATGAAATCAGAAGAAACTCTAATAAAACATATTAAATGCCATTTACTTTCATGTTTTTCTGTAACAGGACTGCCTTCACAAATTAAAACTGATAATACTCTGGATATACTTCCTGTTATCTTTGGGATTTCTTTCAACTCTTGAATATTAAATATATTCTTGGTATATCTTATAACCTTACAGGTCAATCAATAGTAAAACAAGCTAAAGGGCTCCTTAAAACCCAAGTATTAAAACAAAAAGGGCTAGTATGGAAAAGTTCCCACCATAAGAACAAATATCTAAAAAGCACTATTTATTTTAAATGTTCAAAACTGTGATTCAGAAGGTTTCACTGCAGCAGAAACATATAGGCCCAAATCATTGTTCCTGTATCAAAAATATTCTTCTGGCACCTACATATTCATTTCTTCCCTCATATTATTAGAATTCATAATTATCAACACATAGATAAGCCTAGATGGATTGCTCATGATACTTCTGACCATGCTATAATTTGTATTTGTCCATATACTTTAGTCCTCCTAATGAAGAACCCAGGATAACTCAATATAGTTTTTCTAATTATCATTATAGACACTTTAAAGAACTTAATATCTCCTTTTTTGATAATGTCACCTGATTAACTCCTTGTTGCAAGTACTATTTCTTAACTAAATATTACATATAACATGGTACTTAGATTAACAAAAGTATGGTTTCGCACCAATCTCATTCAATAATGGATGGGATATTTTGCTCTTGAACAAATTACCTCAGTACTTAAATATAGTACACAAAAACATGTTCTGGGCATTCTAATTGAAACTATTATTACAGCTATAAGAATGGCTGCCACAGCAGCAAATGCAGTGGTCGCTTTGACTCACTCTAGGCAAACTGCTTAGAATATGTATAATTATTTTCAAAATTTTACCTCAGAATTATTGATTCAAACTAATGTTGATAAAGAATTCTATAAAGACAACACCATGGAGGTAACTATCGATTGGCTCAGCAAACATTCACAGGCCTGCTGGACATGCAGTTGGCTTAGTTGTGACACTGGGTATTGCTCAATGTAAGTTATTCATTTTCCTTTTAATCATTCTACAACTTGAAATTAGATTTAACATTTTCTTCATTGTACTTTTCACACAAATCCGGATAGAGATATTACTGATCCTCAAGACTGACTTCATGTCTAACTTCATTGACTTCAAATGAAAACTCACAATATTACTTTGAATCACCTTGATGATACTGTCTACTAGCTAATCCTAAACAGCAGTTCTCTGATCTCAATCTTTGAATTTGAGTTCTTACAGCTATTAATCTTTTCTCTGCTCTTTCTTGCAGTCTTAACGAGACCTCTATATGTTGTTCCAGTGTACCCCTCCTCATGCAGTAATCATGAAGACCTTCCTACATTAAGCCCATTACTCCTCTACCCTAAACTCTCCTCCTTTTGCCCAATCAAAATTATAAAAAGTAAAGCATAAACTGTGCCAAACTCTGACCAGAGGGATGCTTGATGTGGAACCGACTTGGGGCAACTACAGTTCCCAGGCTTCTGGAATTCATGGTTAAATCTTACAGCAGATCTACAGGACAACAGTCAGCACAGCCAATAAAAGGTTATTCTCAAAAGATGTTTGCTCTGGTCATTGAATTGTTCCTGTGCTCTGATAATAATTGGGCTTCCTTCCCAAAAAGTTTGCTTAAACTAGGTTAACATAGATTATACAGCAAGCAATCTTTTCCCAGAACCTGCTGCCCTGATCATGTTGAAATTGCTTTTCTTCTGTGTCTTCATTCTCATATATTAAGTTACAAGGGCTCAGTTTCCAAGGGTTTCTTATGCCCAAGAGGTAGTCCCTCTGTGTTCTCCGTGCTTGAATTAAATTTTGTCTCCATAGTCTGCGATACTGCTTTATTTGGATATCAGTTCTAGAAGTGTTTCACAGTGGAGTTTTTAAGGTTTTCTATGCAGTGGATCATGTCATCAGCAAATAATAATTTAACTTCTTCCTTCCATATCCATATTCCTTTTAATTTTTTTCTTGCCTAATTGTTCTAGTTAATGTTTCAAAACTCTATTAGGTAGAAGTGGTAGTAGATAGTTTTGTCTTGTCACCTTGACAGGGAAAGCTTTCAGCTTCTCCATTTAGTATGATTATATTATTACTTTTCTCTTGTGGAGACAAAATACCTGAAGCCCAAAATTAAGGAAGAAAAGGTTCAAGCTCACAATCAGCTGGTGCCAAGGCAGTAGTATGGCACAGGGCAACCATTCGTGGTAGCAGAAGACAGTAAAAGCAGCAAGAACAAAAAGAAAGGAACACAAGAGAAAACTCTTTCTGTCCCTTATATTGTATGTAAGCTACCCACTCTAGGGTAGGTGTAGCACTCACACCCATGATCCCAGCATTGGGCCATGAATCAACCACAACCTCTAGAAGCCTGCTCCCATAACTGCATGAAGCTTTGAGGGGACAACCAGACACAAACCATAATCATGTCGGCAGTTCATTTTTGATAGATGGCTTTTACCAAATTGAGATAAAGACCTTCTATTCTTATTTTGGTCAGATTTTTTGCTGTTATCATGAACAGATGTTGAGTTTTGTTAACTGATATTTCTGTGTCTACTGAGATTATGTAATATTTATCCTTGCTTCTGTTTATATGGTGTACTACACTTACTGATTTTCATATATTAATCTCTCCATCTCTAGAGTGAATTCTACTTGGTCATGTTGTATGATTTTTTTTAATAATTTACTGTATTCCATTTGCCAGTATCGTACTGCAAAGTTTTGAACCTGTGTTAACTAAAGAGATTGGCCTAAAGTTCTCTTTTTTGGTTGGGGTCTTTTCTGATTTTGAAATCTGGGTAATG